AGGAATGCCTCCACTTCCAGACCCCTGATCTCGTTAAGCCGTGCCTGCTTGTTTAACGAGCCCTCTGTCCAACATCTCCTCCCCAAGTAGGAGATTACAGGCCACGGTTGGGTATGCCACTGCTGCAGTCACTGCTGGGACTGCAGTATAGTAGAAACATCATAGCTCACTTGTGCGCTGCTGTATTAGCAAGGGCCAAGGCAGCTTGGAGCGCGGCACAGGCTGCAGATGTTGAGATGCCGAGTCTGTACGCGGGGGGTTCATCAACGCTGAGCGCTGTTCTGTCGCATCGTCACTCTTTGCTTGCCCTGAGCTACCTGGTGTGGGTACAGGAGCTTCACTCCCTGGAGGATACAAATGGACCCCGGTCACCTCGAGTTCTTCCTGTATCAATTAGATAAATTAACGAGTAAGCTCTTTAGTCTTTGTGTGGGACACCTTCTGATGCCCCTTGCTTTCAGGTGATAAGCTGGTGGGACAGCTTTCTGTCTGGAGTTGGCGCGACTGGTTTTGTAGCCAGGGCTGATGCAGAGCAGAGAATTGGGGGGAAGTTTTGGTTGCCTGTTGCAGCACAGCTGTGTCTGGTGCAGATCGTGGCTCTGCCATTGCAACCTTATGCTGTAGCAAAAGATCCACCTTTGACGGGCAGAACAAGCAACCTCTTCCAAACTTCCCTGTGGTCTTCTTTAGGTGACGTTTTATCCTGCGCTAACCGGTAGTCTCTTGTAACAGCTCTCTGTGTGCTCCTTTGCCCTGACTAGAGACTACATCTACTACAACGATGTGTATGCTTTCAACCTGGACACGTTCACGTGGAGCAAGCTGTCTCCCTCCGGCATCGGCCCTGCCCCGAGGTCTGGCTGCCAAATGTCTACCACTCCAGAAGGCAATGTAATCATCTACGGTGGCTACTCCAAACAGGTGAGAGATGACAGGCACCGAACTAGGGCCACATCTTGTTTTGTTTGCTTGGTTCCTAAACAGAATTGCTGCCCTGCAAGAAGAAGGAAAGTTATGAGAAAAAAAAAATCAAAAGCAGCAAATTCAGTTATTGCAAGTACCGCTGGGGCCTGCGGCTGTTTTTGGGCTGCTTCTCGGTTATGTAGTTCTGTACATTTGGCTTCTGGTGAGGAGGACTGAGTGGTTACGGCCCTGGTTTTGCATTTCTGGGAGACTTATGTTCAGTCCCTTGCTCTGAGAGGTGGTTTCAGTGCCCAGCTCTGCTACAGATTAACAGTATGTCCTTGGTTAAGTTGTGTAACCTGTGCCTCTGCTCCTCCTCTGTAAAATGGGGAGAATATCTCTGGCCTGAATTGCAGGGGTGCTGTGTGGGAGAGGAGAGCAATAAATTCAAGTTTGATAGGTGCTTGAATATAACAGAAATAGGGCCAGAGAAGTATCTCAGATATGAAAATAAGAGCGGAGACAAAGTTTCGGAGCATAAGTCGGCCACTAACAGCCTTGAGTTGTGAAGAAGCTACGTCAGCCCCACGGGCAGGTTATCCTGTAACAGCCGCACGTAGGGTTTTGTCCACTTCTGAAGCAGCTGGGGCCAGCCCAGGAGGTGAAGTACTGGTGCAAAGGGATTACGTCTAGGTCGAGAGGGTAGCTCCTTTGTTTCTTCCCTGAAATGAATGACAGGCTTTTCCGAAGCCGGTTTCCCAGGTGCGGGAATGCGGAGCTGGGGACTCTCGCGTTTCCATTTCACCGTGTCCAAGAGAAATGCCAAATGGGGTTGCCCAAGGAGTGACTGACCCACGTGAGGAGCTGCGGGTCCTGTTAGCCGGGGCTTGAAGATCACTGCTCCCTTTGCTCATGAGGCAAAGCTTCTGGTGAAGCCGTCACGGTGAGTGTTGGACACCTGACCGGAGCACGGTAAATGGTCTTTTCCTGCCTCGGCAACGTCATGCCTATGGGAGTTTGCCATGCCAGAACTGGGCATATCTCAGTCTGATAGATGCCCCGGTGACTAGCATGGTGGCAGGAAAAGGAAGAGCAGGACACAGGGTGGAGTGGAGGAGGATGTTCCCACTTGGCCCCGTGGCTGCTAAGGACATATCTGGAGGCTAATGTGAAGCTCCCCCATCCCCATGCTCCAGATGTGCATGCCTTGCAGTCTGGAAACAACAGCATTGCTGCTGCGCTAGTGCAGCCCATAGCCCGTGCCAGGGAGCATGCCTGAGAGAGGCACTGAACATGCACCCAGCCCCTGATGCAGCTGCTTCGTGTCCAGGAGATGCGTATGCAGAGCGGGAGTGCGTGGCTAGAGCCTGCTTCCTGGTGGCACTTGGGTGCAGCGCAGAGGCTGCATAGACAGGAGTAATGCATAGCCTCTGGCAGTAAGGCAGCAGCTGCCAGGATGCAGGGCTTTTCTCAGAGCACAGAAGGGGTTAAGGGAACAGAGCTGCTCAGCAAACCCGATGCACCAAAGGGGGCCTTTGATGCACTCCAGGCTTCCTTTGCACTGCTGCTCGCTTTGTTAATCAAAGTAATTTATACCAGGTAGCCCTTTAGACCATATGTCCTCATTGCCCAAGTGTGCCTGTCTCCGTGCTGGGAGGGAGGAAGTGAATAGTCCATTGGCAGCGCTGAGCAAAAGGCTTCTGCCAATGCTTCCAGTGTTTATAATGCAGACGGGAGCAGCAGGGTCTGGGTTTTGTATCTCAGCAGAAAGGCATCGCTTCCAGCTGCGCAGCACCGGGGGAGGTGGATGCACTGTTCCTTCCGATCTGTACAAATGAGCAAAGAAGAGGGAGGTGGGGGGAGCAAATATTCCGTCTATATATTTAGAAACATTTGTGCCTCCTCACAGCCCGCGCTCAGCACTGCAGCTTCTCGCCTGCACGTTTGTTTAAACAGCAACAGCGCTGGGGAGGATTTTCCACCTGAACGGGCTGTGTCCTGCCCCTTGCTCTCCACCCTCCTTGCTCCCGAGGTCAGAGAGCCGCACAGCCTGCCTGCCTGCCAGATGTGGATCCCCTGCTCCCGAAGGCAGCTGGGGTTGTGCGGTATGCTGCAGCCTCTGGACAGGAAAGGCTGTGAGCGTCAGGAGTGGGGTGCTGCAGCCTCTGGACAGGAAAGGCTGTGAGCCCCAGGAGTGGGGGTTTTTTGCATTTAACACCTTCTACTGTACCAAGCTGAGCTACGTCGCGTTGCTTTGGAGCCGCTTTTCTTGTCGTCACTTGGAAAATTTGGAGTGACGGGGAAACGGTGGCTGAAATGCAGCCCCTGCTGCAGTGCCTGGGCAGTCGGCTTTCCGTGCACGGCTCTGAACCGGAGGTAGAAGAGGAACTGATGCATCGCTCTTGAGTTAAAACTCTGTCCCCAGCTGTTTTGTACGGCCGGCGTGAGGTGTCTGGCTGCTCCGTTCAGGGTTTCCATCACACACCGTGGCCTGTTCATGAATGCCGTGCATACACTTTCTATATATGAATGCAGATGGGAGCAGGGACCAGGGAATGATTGATTTGCTGACGCATTCCCACTCTGCACTGAGGTGGTACCGGAGGCTTTCAGCAGCCCAAGCAGGTTTCATGCTGGGTGGGCAATTCTAAAATCGTATTGCATCCTACCTGCAAACTGTGACATGAGCGGGACAGTCAATTTATGCAGCCTCCAGCTGCCAAGGTGACGATATTGGGTGTTGTCACAATCACTTCATTCAATGGGATTCATCGTTTCTTGGGCCCCTGGGGTACCGTTGCATCCCCGTTTCCATGAGTGTGCGATTAGAGCTCTGCAAGCAGCTGATCATGGAGCTGAGTCTTGAGCTCGAAGGTAATCAGCTATGTATTGTGCAGCGCAGGCCCCTGGGGACACTGGGGCAGGGTCTGGAAAAATAAAGCAGCTCAAGTTTGATGGAGAACCAGCAGCTGGTCAGAGCCGGAAAAATGAAGAGAAAGACTGTCCCTGCCTCGACTGCAGACAAGCACAGCTGTACAGGCTGCTAAGAGGAAAGCTGGAGAGAACAAGGTCATGCAGCCTGCATAAAACACATCCAGGGACAGATGCACAAGAACCTCTCAAAAGCTTTCTTTTAAATAGACGTGGGGCCAAGATCAGAGCTGTTTTAGGGCTTCATTCGCCTGGGCCCCGTTCCCACGGGCTAGGTCACAGCGGTTGCAGCAGGTTCAGCGCTAGATGCAGGCCGTGCTGCCATGCAGCGTATTGCACGTTGCCCCTTAACTGTCACGATAAGGAGGGACCTCCTTAAATCGCAGTTCCGCGATTTTCGAGATCGCCGTGAAAAATGGCGTTGGTCGTGATGTCCCGGGGAATCGGCCCCAAAAGAAGAAAAAAATAAAAAGCTTACTGGACTCTAAAGATTTAGATTTAAATTGAATACTTAATACAGTCATTTATAAGAGATTTCTGTGGAATCTGCTATTTAATTATGTGGTTTTTGCCTCTCGGCCAGTCGGCAGCAAGGGATGGGGCCGCCGGGGCAGGGCCACCACAAAATGCCCGTGAAATCGGCTCTGTGCGCTGCGCACGGGCCGTGAAAAGCCCTTTGTGTCACTGGTTTAAGTAGGTCCCTAGTGATACCCGAGGAAAGGGCGGAGAGAAGGCGACCTGCAGACAACTTATGAAGTTTAAATGAATGCTGACGATTCTGGGAGCTCGTTATCGATGCGAGCAAAAGCCCTGGGCTGCAGGCCCCCAGTGTTTAAAAACTCAGGTCAGGTTTTGCCAGCATCCCTGTGGCCAAGCGAATGCTATCGAGTGTTGTCTCTTGCATGTTCATACATCCTGAAAATAGTAGGGGCTGCTTGTGCGGCTGCTGCGATCCTCCTGCCCTGAGAAGTAGCACAGTGGGATCTTAATCGGCCGTGCCTGCTTCGACACGAAAATCCCATCAGATGCCTTGGATTCGCTCTTCTCCCGCTGCTCTTCGTTTTGAGATGCTCCCTTTCTTTTATGGTAGAGAGAGACCTGCAGCCGCTGCATCTTTGCACCGAGAGCTTGCGATTGCTAAGCAACCCGAGCGCCGGGGGCAGCTGGGAGACGTCAGGAAGCTGATGCTGCTCCACCTTGCTTGCGAGCCGGGCCCCGTGGGCACGAACCGAATGCACCCGGAGTGGAGGGCCGTGCATTTGAAGTGATGGCTTTCTGAGGCTCCGGTTTTAAAAGCAGGTTCAGCTGGACCCTGGCTCGTGGATGTGCTTGCAGGGGGCTGGACATCCTGAGGTCCCTTCCGACCCTAGTTTCCTATGGATTGGAGAAGAGAGCAGTTCTTGCCTACTCTGGAGTCTGCATTTTCAACGGCGGTCTCTGATTTTGCCCCTGTTGTCAGAGGCGGCGCGTTCCTGCCGGTTAAGCAGAAACCTTGGAGGCTAATCCCCACCTTAAATGCTGACAAGTCACTTGCCCTCCTTGTGCCTCAGTTTCCCCATGAGTTTCAAAGGAGTGGCAGTAAGGATTGCTTGCCCTAGACCAGTGGTTAAGGGAGGGCTCAGCCGATGCTTTTCCCAAAGCAGCTGGAGCGTGCAGTGTAGGTACTTATTGGCTTGTACAAAGACAAGAATGCAGCTATTCAGAAATGTTTTGTGCTTGGGAAAGGAGGTGGACCTCTGTATTATGTAACAGCCCAGGAGGAAAATAGAGTGAGGTTAGACGCCCTTTTCAATATGTGAACCAGCATGTTATGGCCAAGGTGTGCAGTATTATCAAGCAGCACGGGAACAGGGCGGTTCTCTCGAGTAACGGTGGGGTTTTTGTGTATGTGTGTTCCTTTTTTTTCATCCCTGCATAGCATCTGTGCATCTTGTGTGTACGTGAAGGTTGCATCCCTTTGGAAACAGATCATTGGAGCTCCCACTCCTCCTCATCAGTGGTTTCAATCCACGAAGCATTAGCCTGTTTTGTACACAGTGTGTTTACTACAGGGAGCCACATGGCTTTCGGATGGAAAATAATGCGGTTAATCCTGACGGCCCCCCTGATACCGGAGCAGGCGGCGCTCCGAGTCCCGCCACGACACGCACGCGCCGTTCGGTTGCCTCGGACAGCTGTGCTGCGAGCAGATCTACGCCCCTCATCCTTATGTGCCCCCTACACATGCACTCTTCTGCTCCTTTTTCTCTTGCTGTCTCTCTCCTGTTCTCTATATGTAAAAATAAAAGAAAAAAGTAGCCCACAATTAACTTGGATTATAAAGATTCAACTTGGATTATAGAGAAAACAGACTCTCGATGCAATGCTAAGCATCACATCCCTGGGTTAGCTTAACTGGGATTTGCGGGAGAGCATCTTTTTTGCATCCCTTTCGCCGGGAAGTGTTTAAAGAGCCTCCGGCTCCCTGGGCGCCTCTACACGAGCAGCAAGGCTGCTCCAATACGCTGTAATTACAGTGCATCGGTGCAGCCTCGACTAATTAATCGAGTCTGCCAGAGCACGGTAATTACCACGCTCCAGCAGACTCCAGTGACTTGTGTATCAGCGTCTCCACACTTAAAAATGATTCAACTAAAGCTCGTTCAATGAGCTTTAGTTAAAGGCCCCCACTGCCAGTTGATGCCGATACACAAGACCCTCTGGGTGCTTTAATTAAAGCGGCTCTAATTAAAGCGCCCCCACCCTGGAGCATGTGTATAAACACCTCCTGAGACCCGCACCACTGAGCTATTGTAAAAACGGGTATAAAGTCAGAAACAGTATTGCTTGGGTTTCTTTCCAGTGGTAGTATAAGGAGCAGCTATTCTTTTCTTTTTCTCAGAAGATGCTGGACTTTCACGTGTATTTTCTGCAGCCAGGATCCTGGTGCTTTTACCTCGGGTAGCTCAGGTCTTGAAGATGGAGCATGGTGATGGGGCTGTTTGCTGGGCTGTGGAGGGTCCTGTAGCCAACAGGGTTCATCCCAGGGAAGGAAACGCTTTGCTGGCAGGAGTCCGTGCAGCAAACAACACGA